TCTATGCTAAGCTAACCAGCTTCAGATTCCCTTCTCTTTGATTTCTCCAGGTGGGCTGGCAGCTCAAACACCTGGTGGAGAAGATGAGGGCGGAGTCTGGCAGCATCACCTTGGTGCTGAAGAAGAGGCCTTCAGGAACATCGGGAATGGCCGCCGCTCCGCTTCGAAACCTGCGCTGGAGACCGCCACTGGTACAGGTGAGCTAACACTAATGCCATCGCATCATCCAGAGACCAGGCTCAAGTTTCTGATGTCCACAACTTACATGCAGCACCTGAACGCACCGCATCTTGGAGCAATTAAGACGTAAGAAGTCGAGATTTTAACCAGGAACAGATTCACATCCTAACCTCTAGGGGGCAGTAAGAACTGGTTTCTGCTGTTGGAGCCTGAAGACAATCAGAGAATGAACCAGACCTGAGATCAGCTGCAGTTAGACCTGAAGAAGCTCCTTCAATCCGTCTGTGTTTGCAGAACAACGGAGTCGTTTTTCCTGCTTTTCTCTGAAAGCATCGGTGCAGGAAACGCTCCGGACTCAAGCAGGATGACTCCCTGGTCGGCCCCGCAGCAGGCCGGGCCAAACAGGATGCGACAGTTCAGAAGAGATAAACTTCCTCACAGACTCCGAAGGTTAGGGTTCAGTTCTGACTCAGTGACCCACTCCAGAACCTGAGCCTGGGTTCCCTGGTTCTGGCTCATCTGGGCCACATGGTGGTGCCCATGGGCTAACTGGAAGTCACAGAAGAGCAGGACTTTCAAAATAAGAAAACATTAAAGCACGGTTGACCTGCTTCTCTGTTTGGGAACGTTTGAATGTGCAAGCTGTGGGTTCGGTTGCGTCTCTTGCAGACGTGTCAGGGCGCTGCGGATGTCTCTGGATCTCCTCAACCCTCAGACGCTGCAGGCAGGAGAAGGAACACCTCCATCCTGGATCTGTACATCCCTCCGCCTCCAGCAGCTCCATACGTTCCTCTGTGAGTTCCTCTCCTCTGCCGTTTTTCCTCTTGCCTGTCCATCCGTGACTCTGACCCTTGACCTCCTTCCTGCAGGGAGCTCAGCTCCTCCTCACATCCCACGTCTCCAAACTCGTCTCTGGACGCAGACGTCCACCAGGGCCTCGTCGACGATCCTCCTCCTGAAGTCAAGCAGCTGGTCCCGATCCGCCTCAGACAGCGATCCGCTTCCCGTGGTGCGTGAAACCGGACCGTTAGTTCTTCTGGAGCAGCAGAGGGTCTCTGGATCCGACTGGACCATTAACCTGGTTCCGAAGGTCCAGCTGGGTCCTCTTTTGCGCTTAATGTTTATCCAGTTTGTTTGCCGAAGTTCTGACCCGGTCCACTGTGAGCTGAACTGAAAACATCCTGCTCACACGGTTCAGTGAGAACCGGATCAGAACAGTGTTCTGAGCGGTCTGGTCTGGTTCTAAAGGATTCTGTTTGCCAACCTGTTCAGGTAAACCCCGACCCGTCTCCATGCCCGTCAACTCTGTCCTGGGAGTCTCCGGGTCTTCGTCCAAACGCAGAACTCAGGGAAGGAAAAGTAAGTTCACCTGTCCTGTTGGTTCTGGTCGGCCCGGACCCACTCAGAACATCCATTACCTGCTTCTTGCTCTCCATTCTGAACAGGTAGAGACGAGCTGCACCGCTACCTGAGCAACGAGCGGATCGGCGCCATCGCTGAGGAGGAGTCGGCCTTCGCTCTGCCGTCCGCGGATCGCCGTCGGTCCGCGGCGTCGACCACATCAGAGGCAGCCGCTGCCTGGTCGGCGCCGACCTGCACCACAGCGCCACCATGCCGTACCAGGAGGCCGCCGCCACCAAGAAGCTTCCTGCTGCCGCACAGACCAGAGCCAAGACTGGGTCAACGTCTGTCCTGGGCGGCTGGCTGGCCCGGCTCAGACTGTTCAGTCACTAAGGAGGAACGTCAGGAACCTCCCAGCAGGAAACGCCGCCCACCGGACCCGCTTTGTTCAGCGACATTAACAGAGACTCGTCTGATCATTGAGCTGTTCTCCAAAGGGGTCAGAAGATTGTGTTCCTCTGGTACGAGTTCCCAAACGCAGAACCTTCAGGAACCGGCTGAGGACCAGAAGGTTGGAACCGCTCATCATGCTGAAGATGTGAGAGCGTCGGTCCTTCAGAGTGTTGCTGAACTGATGCTCCTGGAGAACCAACGCTGACGTTCAGCTGTTGAGGCCTGGTCCAGTATCGGGTCATGGACCAGAACCTGCTCCGTCCATGACCCAGCCAGAGAAACCTGAACATCCTCCATTGTTCTGCTGAAGAGAAGCAGAGACATGAAGAAGATCACTGGCGGTGTCCTGAACTTTGACCTTGTTTCTATTCCTGCTGGATCTGCTGCTTCAGGCCCAACCAGAACCAGGGCTCTACTGACTGACTTCAGATTTCTGGAGGTCCAAGTCAGGAGCCCTGCAGAACCCTCAGGGTGTTCCTCAGGGAAGTGTGTTTTTGTTCATTTGGGAAGAACAGATGTTTAAATGACAGGAAGTGAAACTGGATCCTGTTGGACTCTCAGGAGTCTCGACCTTCTGATGAACGGAGAGCTTTTGCTCTGATGTTTTGGGAAGCTGCTGCGGTCGCACGATCACATTTAACCGTTTCTGCTTCATGCTGTCTGATTGGTCCATCAGCTCAATAAAGTGGAAATTAGTAAATATTCCTGCTCTGCTCTTTGTCCTGGTTTTTCTTTCATGTTTCGTCACTGACAGGGTGAACTCATGAACCAAGTTCTGATTGTTAAACCTGTTCTGGAGGAGAATCCTGCTTTTGTAACCGTCTAACAGAACTTGCTGAGGAACCGCTGCCCCCTGCTGGGCGGCTGCAGAAACTGCATGCTTCCTGCAAGGTGGAGTCTTTATCTTCATCCACACATCACCGGTTTATTATCGCTCATGTACATCCTGCTAATGTAGCTTAGCATTAGTAGAATGTTAAACCACTAACCAGTTAAATCTGCTGGTAAAAGTGAAATCAGGCCCCATCAGCAGAGGATGAGGAGCCAGGAGGACGCGGGCTGGCCAGATCATCCCGACCAGGACTCTACATCAGGGGGTCCAAGGAGAGGCAGTTGATGAGCTCTGATAAAACCTGTTTGTCAATTTATTATTGCATTAATTCCTTCATCTGAAAGTGATTCTAGATGTATGGTTTGTGCTAAGAAACGTAAAATATGACGACCAGACTTCATGACCAATTCAAATTCTTTTTGAGACTTTGAATTGGTCATTAATTAATTACTGTCAAGTAATCGATAAAAATTATGCTATCATTACCGCTGAGTAATCAGTTTATCAAAGTAATATTGGTAATCCTCTCAGTTATGTGGATATGATGGTTTGTATTTATGCATCATGTGAGCTCAGTTCCATCTGAGGAGAGCAGCTGTTTTAATGTACAGAGACTCCAACATAACAACCTGCTGATCAAACTTCACTAGTTTTCCAACTGAGAAAAGAAACTGGGGTTTCAGTTGATCGCTTATTTTAACATTTATAAAATTCCACATGGAATTTTGATTTTTATAGAAATCTCTTCGTGTAATTAATTTTAAATATTTGATTAAAGACAATAAATGTCAAGACATTGAAACCTGGTTCGGCTAAAGAGTTTGAGAAAACAGATTTCTTTACTTAATGAGCCTCATTTTTCCATAGAAAATGAGCTTTGCTGACATCTATTGACGAAAAGAGACACGATGTCCTCCAGCGTCCGCAGCTCCTGGCGGATCATGAGCTGCTGAGCCTACCTTCCTGGTGCCCGGCCTCCGCCTGTTGCTATTCCTGCCGCCATTTTAGCTCCTCGGATGTTTCAGGCGGTTTCTGCTCTGCCGCGCTGCTTAATACAAAATATTATTTCAATAACTTGGTCAGAAAAACTATAAATGAAAATAATGTTTCCGAATTCTAATTCACCTGAAAAGACTCGCATCGATCCCAAAGCAGGACATTAGCCCCAACATCCTGCGGCCTGAAGGATTAAAGCGCGAAATCGCTTCTCTGTTTTAATGGCTGTTGGCAAAGAACTACCGAAAGCATTAGCGCCCCCAGGTGGACTGGAGAGGGGACCAGCAATGAACGGAGAACACAAGTAAAATAATCAAACTACTAATGATGAATAAGTATAAAGTACTAGTAGTAATATAAATTCAAAAATAACATAATTTCAACTTTTATTTTACTTACATCGCTTCCAAAAATATTTTGAACTGTCTCCTTTCTGATTCATTTGCAGTGGATTTGATACACACATCCTGTAGCGTTTCGGGCAGGTTGCAATCATCATATAGGTTTGTCGCACTTTACCAATTACTTTCAGTGATTTATTAAACCCTAATTTGATATTGTTATGGTCTGGCTCTAATACCATAACAAATTAAAGGAAGCAACGCATGGGATAACTTAAAATAGGATTTATTTAACAAAAATCATAGCTGGTTGGAGAGGAAAGGGAAAAAAGAGGAGAAGTGGACAGACAGAAAGAAAAGGGCTGGGCTGATGAGAAAAAGGTGGTGCATTTTATGCTGATCTGATGTCATTCATGGAGACACTGGCCAGCTGCCTCCACTTCCAATCAGCACCAATGAGAATATCTGGAGCAAGGATGCTAAACCCCAAAGGAATAGCCTTGGGCCGTAACAATATGTATAAATATTTATTCCAGTTTTCTTTCCGTTTTCCTTTTAGCTCCTATATGTTTCTAAATGTTATAGAAATGTGTCTTCCTGTACCTTTTGTGCCGTTTTCAAGAATAAATAATCATAATATGATGAAAGTATCAATAATGGAAATGAGACTTTCCATTATTGTCTGGTTTAAGGACGGCCATGGTTTCACAGATAATTTTGCCATTTTTTACTTTAGAATAAAGAAATTTCCGTGCGCAGTGTGCAGCCTGCGATGCGGCTCCCCTTCCAACCTGTGGGGGCGCTGGCGCTCTCTGGCTGCCTCTCTCTGGCTGCCTCTCTCTGTCCACATCCGGCGCAGCTCTCCACGCCGCAGAGACAGCATGGCGGACAGCAGGAGCGCCGATGAGTCCCAGCAGGAGGAGAACAGCGAGAAGGAGGAGGAGGAGAGTCCGGGCCGAGAGGAGCTCAACCTGGAGGAGGTACTGCGGCTCGGAGGGACCCAGGTCAGTCAGCGGTTCGGTTCGGGATGACGGGACTTTCGTTACAACAGAACCCTGGGTGTGAGTCCAGATGTTTCCCACCAGTCCGGTTCGACACAGCCAAATATCAGCGAGGACCAGCGGACGGTTCGGTTCGGCCCATGGTTCGATTCGACCCATGGTTCGGTTCGGCCCATGGTTCGGTTCGGCCCATGGTTCGGTTCGGTAGAGAAGCTTCAGCAGGTCAGGCTCATTAGCAGAACGCTGTTGGAGTTCAGACCCCATGAATCTGAACAGAATCTGAACAGAACCAGTTCGTGTAATCATGGATTTTTATTGAGGAGAAAAATCTAATGTTCAGATGAACAGATGTTAAGCTGCTTTCATAAAATATTAGAAATACAACATAACTGCACATAATTCAATTTTTAAATCGGAAAAAGATTTTATTGCCTTACATGCAACAACAGCAAAACATAAATAAAATAAATCCTTTATCACCACCATGTAAACAGCCGGTCCTTTCTGCTGGACTGAATAACGACACAGTTTAGGGATTAAATTGGATTAAAAGATAATCGGACAGCAAAATGTGATTTATTCACAGAATGTGAAGCTAAAACCTGAACAGAGGTGAAGGGTAGAACAGCTGTTCATCTTTAATGTATGTTTTTATGGATTTATTTTTGTACAGTTTTGGTTTAATTTCTGCTCTGAGAATGTTTCAGCACATTTCCTTTTTTTAAACTCACCTTGATCCCTGCAGATCTGGCTCTCTGGTTGCAGTACCTCCACTCTGCCAGCAGGTAGAGTGGAGGTACTGCACAGCTTCAGCTTCATCTGCATGCAGTTGGTTTATGACGTAAAAATGTTGTTTTGGACTGGAGGTGCAGTTTAATTGAAATGGAAACATTGCAAAACGTTAAAAGTGAAACCAGGGCGTGTGGGACCTCTGAGCCCTGCTCTCTGTCTGCAGGCGGACTACATCCTGCTGGCGGCCATCGATGACTCCACCGAGCTCGTTGATGGAGGGATGAAGGAAGCCATTGACGACCTGGAGGAGGGAGAGCTCGAGGGATTCATCTCCAAACTGGGGATCCGGGTCTACGCCGGGTTCCAAAGCGTCCCGGACCAGCCGGAGGATGGCGCCGCTGCAGACCACAGTAAGGGAAAAAAGGCTGCAGAAGCGTCAGGTGTGGATCAAGGGTCCAGCTCTCAGAGTAAAAAACAGAAGAAGAAGAAGGAAGATGTTCTGGTTCCACTTGGGAAAACGCCGAAGCAGAACCCGGCCCAGTTTGAGTTCCAGCCGCGGCAGGTTCTGCTCATCAAGCCAGGTGGGAAGTGGTTTGAGCTTGAGTACGCCTCGGAGGGCTCGGATACGCCACAGGACGCGGCGGTGGTGTCCCTCTATAAGACACTGGCGCAGCGACTGTTTGAGTCCGAGGTGGAGCTGTACCGCACCAAGAAGAACCTGCAGAGAGGAGCCAACTCCGCCTGGATGAAGACGGTGGTCTCCTCCGGCGCGCTGGCCGACCGCATGGCCGCCATGACGCTGCTGGTGCAGGACGCGCCGGTGCACATGCTGGAGCACGTGGAGACGCTGGTATCCATGGTGAAGAGGAAGGGCAGCCGACGGATGGGCCTGATGGCGCTGGACACGATGCGGGAGCTGCTGCTGTCCGACCTGCTGCCCGAGCACCGGAAGCTCCGCCCCTTCGCCCAGCGCCCCTTTGCCCAGCTGGAGGAGCGGGCGAGCGGCAACCGCGATGCCCGCGACCGCCGCCTCATAATTTGGTACTTCGAGCACCAGCTGAAGCAGCAGGTAGCCGAGTTCGTGGCGGCGCTGGACGAGGTGGGCCACGACACGGTGGCGGCCACCAAGGCCAAGGCGCTGGCCGCCGCCCACGAGCTGCTGAGCGCCCGGCCTGAGCAGGAGAGGGCGCTACTGGTCCAGGTGGTCAACAAGTTGGGCGACCCCGACTACAAGATGGCAGCTAAGGCGGCGCATCTGCTGGAGACACTGCTGCACAACCACCCCAACATGAAGACGGTGGTTTGCTGTGAGGTGGAGCGCCTCATGTTCCGGCCCAACGTCGGCGCCAAGGCGCAGTACTACGCCGTGTGCTTCCTCAGCCAGGTGATGCTGAGCCACGACGAGGCCCCGCTGGCCGCCAAGCTCATCGCCGTCTACTTCTCCTTCTTCGGCGCCTGCGTCAAGAAGAAGGACGTGGAGTCCAAGATGCTGAGCGCTCTGCTGACCGGCGTCAACCGGGCGTATCCCTACGCCAACGCTGGAGATGAGAAGGTGCGCGAGCAGCTGGACACGCTGTTCCGGGTCGTCCACCTGGCTAAGTTCAACACGGCGGTGCAGGCGCTGATGCTGCTGTTCCAGGTCCTGGACGCACAGCAGAGCGTGTCCGACCGATTCTACGTGGCCCTGTACAGGTGAGAGACCCGGAAATGGAGCGAGCAGCTGGAGGAAACCCGCTGGAGGAAACCCGCTGGCACTGGCAGGGATAACCTTACTTTGGGAAAGACTGACTCAATTATTACTTAGTTACTTCACTGATTCAAAAGTAATTATTATATTAAGTTACTAATTACTTCCTGAGTTTATTTTGCAGTGCAACCTGTCACTAACTTTACTGGCTCAACATTTTTAACCGTTGTCTTAGTGACTAATTCAGTAACATCATAATCTAATTGAAGCTCTTCGTCTCCACTGAGTAATCTAAAGCATTTAGTAACTTACAGAGTTACTCTAAATACTTTTTCACCAGTAATAAAACGTTAATAACACTGAGAACATTTCTCCACCACCAGCTAGTCTAAGGTGTTACTAGGACTCATTCTAAGTTGCCTAGTAATCCGTCACTAACCGGTAATCTGAGTAACTGGGAGAGTGACCTGGTACCATGTTGGCGTCCTGCCTGGTCCTACAGGAAGCTGCTGGACCGGGCTGGCGGCGTCACCGCGGCAGAGCCTGTTTCTCAACCTGCTGTTCAAGGCGCTGAAGGCGGACGTGGCGCCGCGGCGCGTCAAGGCCTTCGCCAAGCGGCTGCTGCAGGTCGCCGCCCAGCAGGGTGCCTGCTTCGCCGCCGGGGCGCTCTTTCTCGTCTCCGAGGTGATGAAGGCCAACCCGGGCCTGCGGATGCTGCTGCAGCAGGGGGAGGTGAGGGAACTGGGCCAGAACTGGGCGGTACCGCTGAAACCGGACGCGGGTTCACCTCATTGACTCCTGTTGATGTTCTGATTGGTTCTGACAGGACGGGGCGGAGGAAGAGGAGGAGTTTAAAGATGTCTGTGAGGAGAGGCGCCATGATGAAGAGGAGGAAGGAGGAGTCTTGGGCCAACAGACCGGACGGAGGCGCGCCGGAGCCAGCGACCCGGCCCACGGCATCATGGGTCCACCACCGGAACCTAGAAGGTCCCTGGTCCCTTCGTGGTTCTGATTTGGATGAGAACAGGTGTGGTAAAGGCGGTTCTGGTCCGACCCGGTTCTAACGTCTGAATGTTCTGACAGGAGGGCGGAGCTCCCAGAACTACGACCCGGTCCACAGGAACCCGCTGTTCTGCGGGGCCGACCGATCCCCGCTGTGGGAGCTGCACTGGGTGAGGAACCGACCCAAACAACCCGGTTCTGGCTTGTGTTCTGTTCTGACCCGGTTCTGTTCCCCCTCTGCAGCTGTCTCTGCACTTCCACCCATCGGTGTCCCTGTTTGCCCGAACCGTCCTGCAGGTAACAGCACAACCCGGCCCGGACCTCCAGAACCAGGCCCAGGTTTCACGTGTTTTCTGTCCGCAGGGAGAACCGGTCCAGTACTCGGGCGACCCGCTCCAGGACTTCACGCTGATCCGGTTCCTGGATCGCTTTGTCTTCAGGAATCCAAAGCAGCTCAGAGGAAAACGTGAGAATCCCGGATCCGCTCTCCGGCTCCTTCCCAACCGGGTCGGTTCTGATCCAATTTCCTGTCTGTTTGTCAGAAAACACGAATTCTGCGGCACTGAGGCCTAAGCAGCGGTTCCCGGTCGGCTCGCTGCCGGGTGAGTTTTCCCTGCTGGTGCTTCTGGTTCCAAACGTTTCCAGGTCCGATTCTAATTCTGGGTTCTTCAGTGAACGGCGCCGAGTTCCTGTCCAGAGACGAGGGCCAGATCCCCGTCGACCAGGTCTTCTTCCACCGGTGAGCCTCGCTTCTCTGCCCAGGTCGGAACCGGCTGACCCAGAGCCTGATTCCGACCCAGCTGACCCAGAGTCCGGTTCTATTTTTGCAGATTCTTCAAGAAACGTCAGCAGGAGAAGCAGAGCCGGCAGCCGCGACCCGACGGAGACAACGAGAGCGTGGAGAGCGTGGACGACGACGAGTTCGAGAAGGCACTCGGTACTAACGAGTCCTTTCTAACGAGTCCTTCCTATCGAGTCCTTCCTAACGAGTCCTTCCTATCGAGTCCTTCCTATCGAGTCCTTCCTAACGAGTCCTTCCTATCGAGTCCTTCCTAACGAGTCCTTCCTATCGAGTCCTTCCTAACGAGTCCTTCCTATCGAGTCCTTCCTATCGAGTCCTTCCTAACGAGTCCTTCCTATCGAGTCCTTCCTATCGAGTCCTTCCTATCGAGTCCTTCCTAACCTGTCCTTCCTAACGAGTCCTTCCTAACGAGTCCTTCCTATCGAGTCCTTCCTATCGAGTCCTTCCTAACGAGTCCTTCCTATCGAGTCCTTCCTATCGAGTCCTTCCTAACGAGTCCTTCCTATCGAGTCCTTCCTAACCTGTCCTTCCTAACGAGTCCTTCCTAACGAGTCCTTCCTATCGAGTCCTTCCTAACGAGTCCTTCCTATCGAGTCCTTCCTATCGAGTCCTTCCTAACGAGTCCTTCCTAACGAGTCCTTCCTAACGAGTCCTTCCTAACGAGTCCTTCCTTACGAGTCCTTCCTAACGAGTCCTTCCTATCGAGTCCTTCCTATCGAGTCCTTCCTAACGAGTCCTTCCTATCGAGTCCTTCCTATCGAGTCCTTCCTAACGAGTCCTTCCTATCGAGTCCTTCCTAACGAGTCCTTCCTAACGAGTCCTTCCTATCGAGTCCTTCCTATCGAGTCCTTCCTAACGAGTCCTTCCTAACGAGTCCTTCCTATCGAGTCCTTCCTAACGAGTCCTTCCTATCGAGTCCTTCCTAACGAGTCCTTCCTATCGAGTCCTTCCTAACGAGTCCTTCCTATCGAGTCCTTCCTATCGAGTCCTTCCTTACGAGTCCTTCCTAACCTGTCCTTCCTAACGAGTCCTTCCTAACCTGTCTTTCCTAACGAGTCCTTCCTTACGAGTCCTTCCTAACCTGTCCTTCCTAACGAGTCCTTCCTAACCTGTCCTTCCTAACGAGTCCTTCCTAACGAGTCCTTCCTCACGAGTCCTTCCTCACGAGTCCTTCCTCACGAGTCCTTCCTAACGAGTCCTTCCTCACGAGTCCTTCCTAACGAGTCCTTCCTCACGAGTCCTTAATGAGGATGTTTGAAACTAGGGCTGTTGTAAACAAATATTTCAGTAATCGAGTAATCTATCAATTATTCTTACTATTAATCGAGTCATTGGATAAAAAAAAGGATAAAACTTTGGTAAATCTGACGTAACAGCAAAGTATCGGATATCAACATCGGTCCAATAATAGCTCACTTATAAAAAAATCTGAATTTATCGGTTCAATAATAAAAGGCAGGCTCACAAATACTTATAAAAATGTCTTTGCTCCAGCTTTTAGTTTGTTTTCATCTCCAGTCAGTTTAATAGATGAACTCTGACCTTGACCAGATATTTATAGCTTTATGTTAGCGACTCGATTTAACTCCTTCGTTCGTCACACAGAAACATCCAGCTACGTCACGATGAGCTCCGCCGCCAATTTGTTGTTGATATGAAATAAATTTTCCGTTCGTCTGCAAAGTTGAGGGTTGATCATCTAACCGTCAGCCGCTCGCCGTGTCCAGTCTGTCCACTCACCTGTAGAAATACACCTGCAGCTCGTCCCGCCGTTCGCTCTGATCTGCCACCAGGCTGCAGCTCCTGGAGGACTCCAGGTATCGCGCCAGTCATTTTAAGGATGCTGATTGGTCCCCCAAAAACAACAAAATCCTGGACATTATCAGCAATCAATTAAATCCTCCCAGGCCGAATTTAAACCGGACCTTATGTTGCTAACATTTAGCTTTTGTCAACAACTCAGGCGGACTGAGAGCGCTGCGCAACGCAAATAATCACCCGGCTGGAACACGATGCGCTGAATAAAACATAACTTAACGAAGCTTCCAAGCAGGTCAATTTTCCTCAAGGAATTTTAATGATCGAGGAACTGGATCACTTGAGGAATCATTTCAGCCCTAGTTGAAACATTCCTGTGAACCAAACCGGGTCTGATCCCAACAGATTCCTTGGAGGCTGACTTCACCAACGTTCTGGACGGCGACCTGGACTTTGCAGGGTGAGTTTTCCAGAATCCATGAAAAGAAATTAAAGCTGGAAATCTAGAAAAATGTCTGGAAGTTTCCAGCCTGGACTGTTCAGAAACATTTAGTCATTTTATTTAGAACAAACCGGGGCGGGGCTAACTGGCTCAGTGAGAATAGAAGATCACAGGAAAAATTTATTACTTTAATGATAAACATCTTTTATTGGCTCTAACCTGCAGAGTCGCCCCCTGGTGGACGGATCATGTAACCCTGTCTGTGAATTTAGGATCAGTGACCTCAAAAAACTGATGGTCCCAGTTGGTTCTGGTTGGTTCTGGTTCTGATGTGCCCGTGTTTCCCAGGAACGTCTGCAGTAAGAAAGGCAGGGACTCGGAGGACTCAGACTTGGAGGATGACCTGGACGATGAGGAAGTGTCTCTGGGCAGCATGGATGAGAAAGACTTTGGAGAGGACGAAGGGGGGACCTTCATGGACCCTGATGATGATGATGATGGTAGGGAGCGTTCTTCAGGACGGTCCAGTTGTCTTCCTCCTGGTTTATCCCGGTTTGTCTCTCCTGCAGCTCCAGAGTTGGAGGACGGCGAGGATGAAGACGTTCCTGAAGGTCGGTTCGTCTCCTCCTCTTCGTCCCTGACAATCCGCTGGGATCCCAACAGGAAGTGTGTTTTCCTTCCTGCAGGTTCAGACGAGGAGGCGGAGCTTCCTGCCATCCTCAGACCAGAAAGCGGAAGTCCTTCAAGGGGCCCGATTTCTCCGGATCTTTAGGTTTGTGTCTTTTTGGACTCTGCAGGAAGTTCTGCAGCATCTGGAATCACTTCCTGTTTCACTTCCTGGTTCTTCCAGAGTCGGAGAAGGACAAGAAGAAACGAAGGAAAGACAGAGGCGTGTGCGCTTCAGCGGAGGAGGTGAGTTATTTTCCTGCAGAACCGGGTCGGCTTTGTTTTGGGCTCAGATCGAATGGTCCGGTTTCAGCCAGCGGGGGGCGCTGCAGGCGACTCTCATTCTCCTTTTTCCCTCCAGTTTGGATCACTGCTGGACGAAAACACCGACTGCAGGTTGGACAACATCAGCCTGAACGCCATGGCCAACAGCGACAGAGCAGGTAGGACCGGAAAACATTTACAAGCGTTTGTGCATAAATTAGGTGACGGAATCGTTTTATTTTAGTTCACTGGATTCCAGCAGGTCAGAACATTCAGAGTCCAGTTGGTCCAACAGAACCAGTTCTGCTCCTTAAAGGGACAGTTTGCTTTTATTGCTGTTGGGCTGGTTCTGATCCGGTTCTGGAGATGATCCTTTCTCTGATATTATGAGATGGATAGAAGTGGTAGGCTCCTGATTGGCTGGTTCTGATTTTTCTGTTTTTAAAGGCAAACTGTCTCTTTAAGGAGTGAACCTGGTTGGTTCTGACCTTTGCTCTTCCTCTTCCTCCCTTTAGGCCTGAAGCAGCTGAAGTGGGAATCGCAGCGGGACGACTGGATCCACGGCCGGGACTCCCAGACGCTGCGCCGCAGGAAGAGCTCCTTCATTAGGAGGAAGAGGAAGGGCCGCGGGGCCTTCAGGAGGAACAGGAAGTAGTTCAGTCCCGTTTGGCCGCCCAGGCTTCCTGGTCCCGCTCCCGGATCCCATAGATCCCGGCCCACTCGTTGGACTGGTAGTAAACTGGGAGGACAGGAGAGACCGTCAAAGACTGTTCTTTATTAAACTATTTTCATTTATTAGAGCTTCACACAAACATTTTCTTTTGTTAATAAACTATAGAATGTTTTTCTGATCCTAACTGGTTATTGTTTTAAACTGGATCCAGTTCTGGTTCTGAGATTCAGTGTTAGCTCCACTCTGCCCCCTGCTGGCTGCTTTACACATCCTAGCTCCTTTCCCAGATCCTCTGAACTGGGCTCGCTCAGCATCTTCCGGAAACCCAGCCAGAACCTAAGCAGAACCGGCCCGAAGAGCAGACTGAGCTGAGCTCACCTTCCAGCACTGAAGGGAAGCGGCTGTTCACGGCGCTCCTGAACTCTGCAACAGGAAGAGAAGAGAGCAGACGTTCCTGCGCACGTTTTCCCTGAGCAACATGGCCGACGGGCCGCACGTCCTACCCTGACTGTTGTTCATCTTGTGAAACAGGAAGTAGGCCCCGAACACGCCCAGCAGCTCCACCATGACCACGCCCTTCATCAGCCGCCTGGCCAGGGGCTCCAGGGCCGCGGGGGCATCTGGAGGGTCAGAGGGGACAGGAATTCATCCCAACTTTAATCTTTAATCTCAGAATCCAACCATTTCTTAAAAAGCCAGAACCTTTTTGTTCCAGTGGCCCTCTGTAGTCTAGAGGGCCACATAAACCCTGTTCCTGGGTTTAACACCAACGGACTGATATCAGTGTATTATAAGCCTGGCACCCACCAGACTTTCCTTGTCCCCTGCTAAGAGAAGTGTTGCTTATTTTTGCTTTTAGAAAAAAATACATTATTCCTTAAAGATGGTTTGCAGTTGATCCACTTAAGCCAGCAGAGCGGACCAATCACACCGCTGGAGCGTCTGTTCGTTGCCTCACACCCTGCGGCTTGATCTCTGAAGTTTAAATCAGTGCAGATCGCCTCCTTTCACTCAGACTGGACACAGACTGACCTGAATGGATATTTACATCAATCCCCTGTGAGGAATTATGTTTCTTTCCAGAGTTTTTGATTAAGGTAAGAGTTTAAACCGCTGTGTTAGCTCTGGTCGTGCAGGAATAACTTGTCTTTGCGCTTTCAGAGGAGCGGTGAGGATGATTTATCTTTGTGAACAAAACATTCTCATGTCGCTGCCCAGCAGGTGGCGCTGTCTGCTCTGTAAAGTTCATGTCTGTGTTCCCGGTTGGTCTTAGCGTTAGCGGTTAGCGAACCAGCGCTAACCTCATCATGCAGGTTCAGGCGGTGAGGAGCTTTCAGTTCTCCTGCTGGTCACTTCACTGCTTTTATATTGTTTTGAGTTTTATTTCTGGTTTCGAAGCATCAAACTATCAAATGCTTTGTCCACTGTCCCATAAACTCAGGCAACCAGAACAGTTTCTGTGACTCTATTAAAACTCGACACACAGAAATGTTAGAGCTGCTAAAGCCACATTAGCAGCATTGAATTAAATCTGTTTGTTGCTCATCTGCAGTGCAGCAGGTTGAACTCATCCTGCAGGGCCGGTCCAATGCTGCATGAGGCCCGGGGCAGAACCTGACTGGGGCAGAACCTGACTGGGGCAGAACCTGACTGTTGGGGCAGAACCTGACTGTGGGGCAGAACCTGACTGTTGGGGCAGAACCTGACTGTTGGGGCAGAACCTGACTGTTGGGCAGAACCTGACTGTTGGGCAGAACCTGACTGGGGCAGAACCTGACTGTTGGGGCAGAACCTGACTGTTGGGGCAGAACCTGACTGGGGCAGAACCTGACTGGGGCAGAACCTGACTGTTGGGGCAGAACCTGACTGTTGGGCAGAACCTGACTGTTGGGGCAGAACCTGACTGTTGGGGCAGAACCTGACTGTTGGGGCAGAACCTGACTGTTGGGGCAGAACCTGACTGTGGGGCAGAACCTGACTGTGGGGCAGAACCTGACTGTTGGGCAGAACCTGACTGTTGGGCAGAACCTGACTGTTGGGGCAGAACTTGACTGTTGGGCAGAACCTGACTGGGGCAGAACCTGACTGTTGGGCCCCTCTTGCTGCTAAAACATCAGAACCTCTAGCAGCTTCTGTTGGATTTAATCTGGGAGATTAAAGTAGATTAACTGGCCAACCTGAAAACTATCAGTTCTAATTACAGTTTATTAATTTGTATTTGTCAACAAACGGCTCAACGTCAAAGATTAAACTCTCAGCGTCAGACTGTTGCTATGGTAAGAAAACAATCTATGAAAATAAGCAGACAATTTGCTGAACAATGTAGAATTTGTTAATTTATGTTAACTGGAACAATTTAATCAACTTTAGCAGTAATGATAATCTCAATAAGAAAATTTTGAATTAAACAGAGGTGCAAAAATATTTATATTGATTGTTTTTTGTTTTCTTTTTAATACTTTCTATTTGTGGGTTTAAATATTTTACTGGTGATGGATTCCAGTAACGTATAATAACCCAGTAATATTTTTACTTTTTCTTTCAACATCTTTAATACAAAAACACGGCGGACCTGGTTCACTGGGGGAAACTGACAGTAAGTAATGCAAACAGCTAATGCTAACTGTTTGATAGCCAGCTATTTGATAGGAAAGCCAAATATAAGCTGCAGCACAAGACAACCAGACATTTAAACAAATCTTGAGACTATTTTATGAAACCTGGTGGCATGAAACAAAGGAAACGAAAAACATTCCAGGAAGAAGATTAAACGAGCCGTTCACTGTGGTTCGTCTGGCTATAGGATGCATTGCCTTCTCTGTTTGCATGTAGTTATAAACACCTTAAAATTACACAACATTCATAAAATGTTCATCCGGGTACCACACACACTGGTAACAGCTTTCCAATCCAAATGAGTTGTCGTCATTAGCTTCTGGACTAGCCGTTTGGTCCGGGTGAGCTAGCCTGGGGCTATTAGCCCTTGTAAATCTCCACTCAGCTCTGTTTACATAACATTAGCAAGGCTATACGTGGTTAGCATGGCTCAAAAGTTGGATCAAACAACATCGATGTGTTGGTTAAACTTGGTGACGCTCACAGTCCCTTACATTAACTTCCATGACGTCATGCGGTGCATTATGGGATTGTGACAAATATGAAGCCTCTCAATCATTTCAATATAATCGAACAGTTTTTTTCTACGTGTTTAAATCATTCATTTAAAAAGAATATTAAACTGAAGCTATGTGCTACTTCATATCTTTCGTACAGTTCACATTTTAAAGTATTACAGGTAATTGTTGTTTCTCGATTTGTTTGTTTTTATTAAACTGTTTAAACCCTAAACTCCAAGCACTTTCTGTCATTTTCAAGATGTTTGTAGAAAATATTCTTTTAGAAGTTGTCATTATATTTAACCGCTTATTTTGATTTCTTTCTGTTTCTGACATCTTTTAGCTAAACCTTTGTCTTTATCTCTAATTTCACTCACCTTCCTTCTGCTCGACGAGTCAGAAAGCAGCTGCAGCGATCCAAACGAACCGAACCGAGTCAGAAAAAGGTTGAACAGAACAATATCACCCGAAGATGACGCGACAGCAGCACAAACAGGAAATTTGAATCCACTGAACGGAAGCCGAGAAGCACCAAAGGCCCTCTTCAAGCCTCATTACTGCCACCAGCTGGCCATGGTCAGGATTACAGGTGAACTAAATAATAAAGACAAAAACATTTTTAAATGTTACACCAAAATAAGACCGAGACCCTGGCAGCTGCTCGCTGATTGGCAGGAGGTTCCGAAGCAGTTCGAGTCGAGGAGCCGGTTCCGCTCAGAAAACCGGTTCGGAAAGGACGGGCCCGGGCCTGCGGACGGGAGCCGCGGCTTGTCGTAAAGTGTGACCGAGATGAGAGGCTCTGCTGCAGCGGAAGGAGAGCGGAGGGTACGGGGAAGAATGAAGAAGAAGAAGAGATGATAATAATAATAATAATAATAATAATAATAATAATAATAATAATAATAATAATAATAATAATAATAATAATGACTGTTTTATTATCAGAGTCTTCATAAAGGCTGGAAATAACAAACCATCCAAAGATCCAATCTTTTAATAAATAAATAAATAAAAACGAAACTATTTACAAAAATCAAACACGATTAGACAAAATTTAGCTGTAAAATGAACAGTTATAAAATAAAAGTTTTTTTAAACGTAAAAAATATTGTGACTTCGAGAATTTTATCAAAATTCTGACTGATAAAAACACATATAATGGCCTTTAAAATATGAGCAATGAAAAAACGAACAAATGAAACAAACACTGAAATCATTTCCTGACATTTTAATGACAATTATATGAAAATGAAGCGAGTAAATGAATAAATGTCCTAATAATGACTTCAAAACTGGGATTTCTGCTAAGCCCGACTTTGTTTTCTTTATTATTTATATGATAAAACCTTTTTTATGGTTCTGTTACTCCATCCTGGACCGGAACCAGAACCGTCAGAGTCCGAACTGGATTTCCTTCCAGTTTGAAACTCAGAACTTTTCAGTTCAGAGAAAATAAGAAGATATTTTTTCTTTGTGATTTAAAGTTTGTTTTCCGTTTCCTATAAAGTTGACACCGGAATATAATAAAGTAGTAATTTAAAAAATGCAAAATAAAGTTAAATCTTCCCAGTCTGGCCGAGTTACCCATTCAGAAAATCCAAAAAATAAATAACTTTTTCAATAATATTTATAAATGTGACACTTTCAATTAATCGCAATAATTGAAACGTTCATTAAAAGTTTCAGTCATTTTGTAAAAGCTAAAATTATATATAATGAAATCATCTGATTGGTTAACCTATACAGCTGCACACCAATCAGATTGCAAATAGGAGTGTTAGCCCCGCGCACTGATGGCTGACCTGAATCAAACTGAATCAAACACATTTTAAACTGATTTATTTTGATTTGGTGTTTATTTACTTGATAATTAAAACGTGTAAATTATTTATTAGTGTATTTTTTAATGTTTGCACTTGAAGTTTGATCAAAATATATATTTTTTAGCAGTGAAAGTTCAACAACCAGAAGAGCAAGAAAAGACAGACAGAAACAGAAACAGTTCCTCTGCATCCAGGTAGTTCATCTGAACTGGACCAACCGGACTCTCCCCACATCACAGCACCACTACAGGCAGGATAACTGCATCGCTTCCGGCTGCTTCCGTCCCTCCAGAACCGGGTCGATCCAGATTCCTTCCGAACTCAGTGACAACTCAGACGGCTCTCCATTGAGTTGGTTCCGATCCTCGGTTCTGGTCCAGGCTGGACGGGTCCGAGAAGCTGCCTGAGTTCGGTTTATTACCTTGTAACCCATCCAGGTCCAGTCACCTGTCCACCTGTCTGCTCAAAGTCCATCCATTATCTGTTCACCCTTCTCCCTGACGGGGTCTGGAGGTGCTGGTGCCTCTCCAGCTGCGTTCCGGGCGAGAGGCGGGGTCACCTGGATGGGTCACCTGGGCAGGTCGCCAGTCTGTCGCAGGGCCTGCTCAAAATCCAGGCCGCATTTATTTTAAAAAGCCACCTTATTTGATCAAAATGTTTCAAACATAAAAACTAAATCAA